GAAATGTTTCTTGAGCAGCAAATCAGCATATTAGAATGATTTCTGAAGATCATGTGACACTGAAGACTGGAGTAATGATGCTGAAAATACAGCTGCGCATCACAGAAATACATTACAGTTTAACAGATATTCACATAGAAAACAGCTGCTTTAAATTAGAATAATATTTCACTATTTTTACTTTATTTTGGATCAAATAGATGCAGCCCTGGTGAGCAGAAGAGACTTGTTTTAAAAACATTAAGACACATTACTGATCTAAAACTTTTGAATGGTAGTGTGTGTGTATGTGTATATATATATATATATATAATTTAAAAATAAATAAATAAATAATCTTCATAATTTCAAATATTACAAAGTTATTACTGTACATCTTAAAATGTTATATGTGTATATATAATATATGATTTATATATATATATATATATATATATATGTATATATATATATATGTATTTGTTTTTTGTTTCTTTGTTTTCAGTTAATGTTTGAGGTGAACCAAGCATATTATATGAACATATAACCAAATATGTCAGTGATATATAGAAAGAAAAATAAATATTCTTATATAAATATCAACAGCTGCATAGTTCATATTGCTTTCAAGTTTTTACTTTTACATATTGTTTCCAAATACATTCTAATGCCAGTTTTAAAATGTTCAAACGAAGTAATTTTTTCAAACCATTTGACTTGACTATAATCACAAGTATGCTATGCTATATTTTTATCCCCTCGCTGCACTGCTGCCACCTGCTGGACAGTTCACACCGCTTCACTGCAGTAGCATTAAAGCAGAAGCAGTGCAGTCTGTGGTGACAGTGGTGGTGTTGATGTGTGTCAGTCTGCAGACGCTGGTTCTGGACGGGAACCTGCTGTCTGCTCTCCCAGTGGAGCTGGGTCGTCCGGTGAAGAACGTGTGTGATCTGATCCACTACATTACACTCAGACGCTCACACAGCGTGAGGAAGCCCAGGTACACACACACACACACACACGCACTCACTCTCTCTCAGACACACACACACACACTCACAGCAGATAGTGCTGGATTATTACTGCAGGCTTCACACTGAACCGCGGTAAAATCACTGTAACACATGGCCCCAGGTGGCTTATTACTCTTATAGAAAGCAAAACAATGTGTCCCATCCTGTTTTCTAGTTTGTTAGTCATACTGTAGGTCAAAAATTGAACAGTTTTTTAATCTTTAGAAAAAATATATAAAAAAATTGCATATGTTTTGTTTATATATATATATCATATCTGATTCATCATTCTTTTATGGCTTGTATAGTCTAATATAGAGAGAATATGGAGGAAAAACAGCTAGATTTTATTCAGAGACTCAAACTGAGCAATTTGCTGCTGATATTTATATGATGAGATTCTGCTGCTTGTACTGTAAATCAATGATATCTTTCTAACAGTAGAGCAGATACTGACATAAAATGATGTAAATATCAGTGGTCGCTCTATATCTCCAGTAATATATCTCAGTAAGATGAGATGTAAATGCTCCAAACATATAATGCAGTGATTGAGAGCTGAAGAAATAAAGGCTCTTACTCGATCAAAACCAGTCAAGATTTGACACGAGAAGCTCCAGCTGAAGCAGTTACACTAAAAGAGCTTTGACTGGATAAAAACCTCTAAACTCTCAATCAGAGACAGAATGCATGCAGTAGATCGAGTGAAACAGCAGAGTTTGATCATGTTGGTCATTCAGAGAAATATGATTGAGTATCTTCACAGTGTTGATGGATGAGATCTCAGTGTGCAGTGAATGCAGTGAGTTGTTTCTCCGTCTCATCAGTCTGAATCAGATCTCCGCTGTGCTGCCGGACGAGCCAGAGTTTCTGCATCACGTGACGCAGCTGGATGTGAGAGACAACCGTCTGAGTGAGCTGGACGCGTCTGTCTTCCCGCGGCTGGAGGTGCTGCACTGTCAGAGGAACCGCATCACACGTCTGCGTCTGCGCGGCTGCGTGCTCAAAGCTCTCTACGCCTCCAGCAACGGTACACACGTAGCATCACTGGCTGCTCACATGAACACACACAGCCTCGTCTCCACTGACGCTCACGCTTTCTGTCCCCAGAGCTGCAAGAGCTGCACATGAGTCCTGCGGCCTCCGGCCTCACATACCTGGACATCTCCAGGTGCGTTTGATATCATGTGATGGTCAAATCACTGCAGACGAGCCCACATCATGACACGAATGTCCCGTCTGCTCTCTCGCAGGAACTGCATGAAGGCTCTTCCTGATTGGCTGAGTGACAGCAGGAAGCTGGAGGTTCTAGACGTCAGTCACAATCACATCGCTGAGCTTCCTCCGTGGTGAGTGAGTGAGTGTGTGTGTGTGTGTGTGAGAGTGAGTGTGAGTGAGTATGTGTGAGTCTGTGTGTGAGTGTGTGTGTGTGTGTGTGAGTGTGAGTGTGAGTGTGTGTGGGTGTGTTTGTGTGGGTGGGTGTGTGTGTGTTTCTGCAGCTATAACACAGACAGAATCCAGTCATAATAAAGCAGTTTACTGTATAACGCAGAATGTAAATTTTAATTTAAGTAGTAAACCTCTGTTATGCCACACTATGTTTGCCAAAAAAATATTGTTAAATTGTTAAAATTTTAATTGATTACATTTGAAAAATAGTCATTTCATTGTTTAAAGTTTTAATTAATTAATGAATTAAAGTTTTATGCATTTTTTTTGTATTCAATTTGTATCAAACCATAAAACACAGAATCCAGAAAAATTTAAAAAAGCAAACACAGAATTTCATAGGGTCCTATTATTTTAATAAATGTGTTAATTGTTAAAGTTTTGTAAAAAAAATAATAATAATAATTCAGGTGATTAGACGTGCTTTTTGATTGTTAAAATTTGATTAAACCATTAAAATGGAATCTAGAGAAATGAAATGGGAAAAAGTCAAACAGATTTTATAGGGCCCTAAGAATGTCTTACTGGATATTCCTGTGAAATGACAGGCGTCTGCAGGACTTCTCCATTCATTTACTCCTCTTAATCTCCACTGTTACAATCCACTGCGAGAAGAGATTGTAAAGAAAGCACAGATCAGGCGTGAACAGATTCACTCCTCTGAACACAGAAACACATTACTACATTTACACTGATTCATTCAGAAGATGCTTTCATGCAAAACAAGAAACACAGAAGAGTGATTGATCACGCTACTCTCATTTATTTGTTCTGTAAAAGTAAGAAATGTTGCTACTCGCCTCACATGGAGGATTTTACTGAAATATGGTCAGTGAAATGATAGCACACATGCACAATCATTCTATGAGAGATTTTACGAGCTGTAAGCAGAAATAGCTGTGTGCTTCTGTTTCCGCGTAAGCATATAAGCGTGCAGAGTGCGTCAGCTGTGTCTCTGCTGCAGCGCTGTGTGTTCATCGGTGTGTGTTTGACGTCCTCAGGCTGCTGTGCAGTGGGAGTCTGAGGAAGATCCTGGCGGGTCATAACCAGCTGAAGCGTCTGCCGGAGCGTGTGGAGCATCCAGCGGTGGAGGTGCTAGACCTGCAGCACAATCAGCTCACAGAGCTTCCCTGCAACCTCTTCCTCAAACCAGAGAGGTCAGACACACACACACACTCAGACACACACACACACACACACACTCTCTCTCTCTCACACACACACACTCACACACACACACTCTCTCTCTCTCTCACACACACACACTCACACACACACACTCTCTCTCTCTCTCACACACACACACTCACACACACACACTCTCTCTCTCTCTCACACACACACACTCACACACACACACTCTCTCTCTCTCTCACACACACACACTCACACACACACACTCTCTCTCTCTCTCACACACACACACTCACACACACACACTCTCTCTCTCTCTCACACACACACACTCACACACACACACTCTCTCTCTCTCACACACACACACACACTCTCACACACACTGTGTTGAATGAAGAAAGGAGTACATGTTGAATGTTAATCTCGTGCTTCATTCAGAGCGAGAAGCTTCTGTGTCAGCTGGCTCTGAATACGGTGTGATTTGTGTGTAGTTTGCGGTGTCTGAACGCGTCAGCTAATAAGCTGGAGAATCTGCCGCCGTCCAGCCTTTCAGAGGAGAGCAGCAGCGTCCTGCAGGAGCTGTACCTGACCAACAACCACCTGACCGACAGGTGTGTGCCGCAGCTGACCGGACACACACACCTGAGGATCCTGCACATGGCCTACAATCACCTGCAGACCTTCCCAGCCAGGTGACAACATTTACTTCATCAATTATTCTCCTGTTTTTAGCACATGCCTGAAACAGCATGACAAATTTGCTTTGGAGTTATGTAAACATATGAATACATCAGTATATTTCCTTCAGTTATATTTCACAACTTCAAAATAAAAGTCCTAACCCCTGCTTTGATTTCACGCTCACATGATTGATGTTTAAGAAATGACAGCAGCTGCAGTGAAGATAAAGTCATAAGACTTTTTGAATTCAATACAGTTTGACCAAGATTAAATAAGGATTTGATTTTAATAATTAATATCATGCTGCAAAGTGTAACAACAGTCACCAGGCAAGAACTTCATGCACATAATCATTATTACCATCAACATTACTAGTCATGATTGAAGAATACAGTGAGGACTTTTTGACTAATGTGTGTGATGTTAATGTTTCTTTTCATTGATTGTCTCTTTTGCAGTATAAAACAGCCTGATGGCCACACATTTTAATGTATTTTAACAGTTTTATTTAATAATATCGTAGGATGTCTTTATTTTTGACACTCTTTTTTTATCCAGTCATTATTGTCATATTGATGTTATATGTGAAAGTTATTTTTAAAGGATTCTTCAGGTTTTTAAAGGCTTTTAAAGGTTTCCGTTTTTTTTCAACAAAATCTTTTCCATTCCTTAAAAGGCACAGCAATTATGGCAAATCTCACGTTGAAATTATGATTTTTATTTTTATTCACAAACTGACACTGATGATTGATTAATTTTACTAACATTTATGACACTGCTTCATATTAAAATATTAACATTTGTGTTCTTTCTGGAGTCCCGCTGATCTTTTCTAGACCGTCTCCGTGTGGTTTGTCACTTCCTCTTCCTCTCAGTGTTAATCGAGCCAGCATTGGACCACAGGGACATGGACGTTTCTGAATGAATATGTTCATCAAATCAATATTCCCTCGCTCTGCTCTGCAGTAAAATGGCCAAGCTGGAGGAGCTGGAGGAGCTGGACCTGAGTGGGAACAGGCTGAAGGCGGTGCCCTATACACACACTATACGCACACACACACACACACACACACACACACACACACATAAGCATTACATTACATCAACACCATCACAGAATGTTCGATTCAACACCGACAGAGGAACTTCAGATGTTGTGTGAAGAACGCTGTTTTGAGTTTACTTCACATTACTTCATTTCATTCGACAGAACTGTTTTTAATTCACCAGTTTTTGAGTATCTCAGTACAGCAGAACTGTTTACTGTCCTGTGCTGTGTGATGTTTAATCTGCGGTTATGTAAATGATGTTATGGATTCCGGAGCAGTGAGCTCCACAGCCTGTGTGCCGTTAACGTGTGTGTGTGCGTGTGTGTGTGTGTGTAGTGCGTGGATCTGAGCTGTAACGAGCTGCGTGAGATCACTTTACCTGACAGTCTACCTCCTAAACTCCAAGAGCTGGATCTGACGGGAAACCTGCGTCTGAATCTGGACCACAAGACCCTCGAGCAGCTCAAGTAATGTTTCACACTTCTGTCAGGTTTTTTTCTTCAATTTGTGTTGTCATATTAACACATTAGTTTAGTGTAATTACAAAAATGATGCACAAATAATAATAAAAATGCACAAAAAAAAAAAAAAAATGTTTTATACTGTCAAGCCATTTTTTCTTTTGACATAATCTGATATAATAATGTCTTTGAATTGTCTTCATTTGGCCCAGTGTTATTTTAGGATCTTTGAGACACGTTTGTAGCTTGTTATTAATGTTTTGAATCGTTTTGAATATATTTTAATTATAAAGTTTTAGTAAATTTGTTGTGTTTTGGACATTTTCATTTTTTTTTATTTTATTTGTCTGTATAATTTTTATTAATGTTTGTTTTAGTTGTAGTTGAAATAAAAACAGAGCATCATGCTGGTTCGGTTTCAGTGGCTTGACACTAAATTCACCTCAAAAGTTTACCAGCCACTGATTTTCATTGTTTTATTTACTCGCCAAAGCCATTTTACTGACTTGTGAAGTGTTTGTTTGGACCTTGTTTCTGTAGATGTGTGCCATTTAATAATCACTTCCACATCTTTTCAGTAACATCCGCTGTTTCCGGATCGACCCGCCCCCTTCGTCGTTCTCAGCCAATGAGGCGGCAGGAGGGCCGGCTGTCTGGAGTCACGGCTACACCGAAGCCTCGGGCATCAAAAACAAGTGAGTGTGTTGTGCATCTCAGCGCTCGGAGCTGCTGTGTGTGTCGGTCAGTGAGCGTGTGTGTGTGTGTGTGTCTGCAGACTGTGTGTGTCGGTCAGTGAGCGTGTGTGTGTGTGTGTCTGCAGACTGTGTGTGGCGGCGCTGTCGGTGAACAGCTTCTGCGGCAGCAGAGAGGCTCTGTACGGCGTGTTTGACGGAGACAGGAACGTGGAGGTGCCGTATTTACTGCAGTGCACCATGAACGACATACTGGCCGAGGAGCTGCAGAGGACCAAGAGCGAGGAAGACTACATGACCAACACCTTCCTCGTCATGCAGAGGTAATGCACACGCAACTAGTGCTAAAGAAGGACGCTTGAGGAATACTAAATGTTAGAGCTGTTGATTTAACACGTTAATTAATTATGGGAAAAAAATTATAAAATGATTAAGGCATTTAATGCAGCGCCCCGTCCAGACCTGTAGTTCGTGTCTGATGAACGTGATGCAGGACGAGTCTATTAGAATGCAGTGATGAGCATAAAATTCAAGAAATTAGGGCAAAAATTCACCGTCTTACACTACCAGTCGAAAACATTTTTTTTTTTTTTAAAGAAGTCTCTTCTGCTCACCAAGCCTGCATTTATTTAATCAGAAATACAGCAAAAGCAGTAATATTGTGAAATATTTTTACTATTGAAAATAACTGTTTTCTATGTGAATATCTGTTAAACTGTAATGTATTTCTGTGATGCGCAGCTGTATTTTCAGCATCATTACTCCAGTCTTCAGTGTCACATGATCTTCAGAAATCATTCTAATATG